GTACTTATGACTTATGATAACCGCAATTAAAGTACTTATGACCTCACTTACTAAGTCCTAGGAACCTCGAAGTAGGTTAGAACTTTTTGTGCACCCTAAACCCTAAACCCCTAAACCCTATAAACCCTATAAACCCTTAACTTAAACCCCTAAACCCTATAACCCGTAAACCCTATAAACCCTAAACCCTTAAACCCTAAACCCTAAACCCCTAAATCCCTAAGCCCTAAACCCTAATACGCTGATGAGATTTTCAGACCCTTGAGGCGCACTATGATGACCAGACCCAAGAATAACCTAGGAAGAAAAAGGGTGCCCTTTTTGGTTTAAAAGGGCTTTTAAGGGAACCTGAACCCTAGAAAAAGGGAATAAGGGCCTATACTCTAGGTCCTAGATGATGAAACCGCGAATGTTGGTTCTTACTGCGTTTCTGCTGGCAATATACGGACCTTTCATAGCTAATCGTCCAGGGTTTGGGGGGTATGAAGTATATAGCTGCTTTATGAGGGACACCAAGGAATACTATTGGCATTTTGCTGCTTTTCTTGGCGATGGCTCTGTCGTGAGCTGGGGCGATTTTGGGTTGGTGGTGATAGTAGTTCCAAGGGTAAAAGGAGGGACCCTTAATAAGGACCCCTAGGTATATACCTTTAATATAACCATTATATACCCATGATATAGCCCATTAGAGGGTCGGGGTCCTTATTAAGGGTCCCTCGTTTTCCCCTTTGAGTAGTGCTGTGGAGGCATCTCAGGAGTTGAGGCTTCTAGGTTGCGGGTTTCGTGCTCTGGGATCGCACCCTGAGGTTCCCAAGTACCTAATTACCATATACTCTCCAAAATAGTAACCTAGATAACTGCTATCCGAAACCTTGGTACCTAATTATTGGATCCTTTGGACCCTGAGGGCAGGTATGAGATTGAATCAGCTTCGGGGTTTGAGGCTTTCAGGGCTTGCCTCAACCCTAGATCAGTTATTCTTTTTGGGGTCCTTGTTATCTAGACCTAAGAGTAAAGTAGTAACAAAAAGGGTGCCCTTTTTGGTTTAAAGGGGGTTATAAGGGAACCGAAACCCTCAAAAAGGGAATAAGGCCCTACTCTGGGTCCTAGTTATGATGTCAGACTGTACGTCCTTAGAAGCATGGGCTTTGCTGGTCCCGCCGAGGTTTGTCTGGGGTTTTAGGACCCAAACCCTAAACCCTGAACCCTAAACCCTATAAACCCTGAACCCTAAACCCTGAACCCTAAACCCTGAACCCTATAAACCCTAAACCCTGAACCCTAAACCCTAAACCCTAAACCCTAAACAGCCCTCCGTGCGCCCAGCTGGACTCCAAAGCATCCAGAAAGGCGGGAAGGTGCTCCTGCAGTTTCTTGGGCTTAGGGTTGAGATCGCCTATCGGGCACAGAGGAATCAAGGGGAAGTTTTGGGCAGGAAACATACTATACTGAACTTAGAACCCTAGCAGAAGTTATAATTTTAGTTGTTTCTTAGGGATTATAATAACCATAAAATTAAAAGCTAGTTCTAAGTACCCCTAAGATCACCACGCGCACAGAAAGGCAACGGATGCAGGTTTCGGGATTCACGGGATAACGGCATCGACTGAAAAACTACTAGGCAGCTACCGTAATACCCGGGTACCTAAGCCGTTTTCTAGATCTGTCATGGCATTGCAAGAATGACTACATCGCGGCTGAATGCCTGAAACATGGGCAGACCGCTGGTTCTTAATCCTTAACACAGGCACCCCACGAAAGTTAGTCCACCTATACGTAGCTCAAGATGCTTCGGGTCCAGCGTGCAGTGTGTGTGTGTGTGTGTGTTGTTGCGGGGATGAAAATGGTATGGCCTGGCTGTGCTCCTAGAATTTCTTAACATCTCGGCTCTATGCGAAAACGTCAAAGCACCATAAGTTGAAATAGTCCAATAGCTGTCATCGAACGCAGCCTTGCGCACCGAAATGTACTCTCAAAGACTTGGAAAGTCTGTCATCTGCAATTAAGGTTCCGCGTTCCGTGATGGACGAATGAATTCTGATCAGTTCTTGCCCTAATTAACAAACCACATTCTTAAGGAGACCCTCAGAGAGGAGCTGTGATAATTTCATTCTTCTTTGTTTGTGATTTTATTCTGTGTTCTACTCTAATTTTACAGGGACTATATATAAGGGGATAACATTGGTAATTGTTCCGACCATTTCCGACGCAAACCGTGCATCCTGAACCGATTGGCCTAAGATTGAAACATGCACACGAATCATGTCGGTCGGAGGCTTTCTTAGCAGTCATCTGTTGGAGATATTTGGTCAAAAGCCTGAAAACCGTTAGTTGTGAGAAGACGATGTTTCGAAGTTTTTGTTGCCATAGCAGTTTGGTCTTGCTTTTTGGGTGAGGTGCTTGCGAAAGTGTCGCAAATACCATGTTTTTCGTCTTCTGTGTCTGTTGATGTGTGGGGTTCGTTGCGAAGTTTTTTGTCTAGAACGCCTAGAAAACACGACTGTGTTCGTATTGGTGGCGTCTTAAAACTGTCGTAACAACAAGGGCAACAGGGAGCAACATTGTCATTGTCATTGTTATTACTGTAGCTATCGTCATCGCCATTGTTATCTTCCGCATAGGCAATCAACATCATGCAAAACAACATCAACATCATCAACATAGAAGTTTTTTATGAAAGCCCTCTCTCAACATCATCAACATCCCCCCCTCCCCATCAATGCACCGAGCAGAAAGAGGAACAGTGTAAGCCGCATTCACATGTCATCAGCCGCTGCGGTACAGATGGGAGTTTCCGAAAATGGGGGGACCCTGGTATAGTACCCTAAATAGTAGGATCCTCATGATTTTTTTCTCCCAAAATAAGGTACCCCTAATTTTCGGAAACTCCCAGAGGCAAGTCTAAGCAGGTGCAGAAAGTCGGGAATGTGCAAAATACGCCGTAAACCTTATGCAAAATGCGGCACACATGGGAAAACACAGAAAAAGACGCCAGAAATGGAGAGCTCAGATTATTTTGTAATTACAGTGTAGCCCGCCGGCTGTCGCCCCCGCAAAAACCGATGCGAAAACAACACGCAAATTTAATTTCGGGTGAGCAACATGCCACAAGTCGAGTTTCAGCACATGCCAGCAAAGAAATCGCACACGCGAGTGCTGCCAACAACAAGAAGAAGAAGAACCAGACAAGCAAGGATCAAGATAGACTAGAAACTATATTCATAAACACACACACACACACACTATATATATATATATATACACATAATAACGTAAACACAAATACACACATGTGTGTATACATCTATCAACAAGGTCATGAACAAGCAGTGTATGCGTGCAGGAGTATTCTTTATCCACCCTTTCTCCCCTTCTCCTGGAATCCACATCCTGAACTCTAACACAGCTTCCCAAAGGGTCCAAAGTACCGATATAGTAGAATGTAGGGTTTCTATGTTAGGAAATACTATTCTGATTTGGGGAAGTAATCCCCCATAACAGTACATGGGACCTCTTGAAGAACCCAAATTTCCAGGTCCTACAGGGGCTAGCCGATTATATTTGTAAAGACATATGAACAAAAAAACATCCGCATGCAGAAAGCGTCGTTTGCAGAACATCCTACGGTTAATAGGAAAACACTATATATCTCAATTACAACCCCCGCGCATCGTGGGACAAAAGCCTGCAACTTGAGCGATGCACAACGGTATATACACCCTAAACACTTAACCCCTAAACCCTAAACCCTAAACCCTTAAACCTTAAACCCTAAACCCCTATAAACCCTAAACCACTTGGGTGGATCCCAGTGCCTGCGGTAGCCAAGGCTTTTGACCGAGGAACTCGCGTCCAACCTTGGTCGGCCCATGGTATACCTAGAGGGTCATACCCTACCCGTTTTGTAGGGTACCTAATTTTATGGTTAGGATCTCCTATATAGAAAAGTAGGTGCCTTAAAACCGGACCTTGTAGAGAGGATTGCCCAAAGGGCCCTATGTACTGCTATGGGGGATACTTCCCAAAGTCATAAATAGTAGTTCTTAATATGGAAACCCTACATTCTACTATATCGGTACATAGGACCCTTTGGGTATAACAGTTTTTTTTCAGGGTCTTTTAGGGTTTAGATTTTCAGGGACTATGGAGTCTACGGCATTAATATCATGGGTAATGTGGTTGCTCTTGTTCTGGTTTAGGGTTTAGGGTTTAGGGTTTAGGGTTTAGGGTTGAGGGCATTACCGTGTCATTACCAGTGGCAATGGCAATTTAGTCTTGGTATGCTTACCTGTACCAACCGGTGGAACAGCAACTCTAAAACACCCCTAAGAATGAGAATGCTGGGCAAATGCCCATCAGATCGCAGCAAGTTATCAAGAACTCAGGCAGCTGATCATAAAAACGAGGTGATGTTGACGATGTAAACCATGGCGGCTTTGTTCTTGAAGGATAAGCTCGGAGTTTATGGTTAAGGGTCCATGTACTTCTACAGAAAGTAAGTACTTCGACGGTAAAGTTGCAGGTGCCTGTGTTGCAACCCAAACATGCTCAAAGTACATAGACAGACAAGCCCAAAGGGCCCAGAGTACCTTTATGGTAGCATGTAGGGTTTCTATATTAGGAATTACTATTATGACTCAATTATGACTTAGGGAAGTATCCCCCATAACAGTACATAGCACCCTTTGGGAAGATGGTCGAGACTGATTCCGGACCAGGCTCAGTTGGTGCCTGCACTGTAGGGGCCTTAATAGGTAGAATAGGGTATTGGCGCCCATTCTGCTATAAATATATTACATAGAGCAATAAGGAACCGCTAAAATAGTAAAGGTAATTTTGGCTTTCATAGTACCCCAGCGATCTTAGGAAGAAACCCGCCAGCCCCCCGCTCCCAGCTTTTGCAACACGCAAAACGCCTTCTCGTCCAGTAGACACGGCTTGAGAAAATGCTTTGATGCCTCAGGCATCAGCCTAGCTTGCGCTGGATCCGAAGCTTTCGTTCAGTACTCCGAGGCTTCTGACTGCATGGAACTGAACTCAGAAACGCCCCCAAGATCTAACGGGCGGCCACGATGGTCCAGCTGGGCGAAGTTGTAGAGCTGCAGGCAGAGATAGACGGGCTGCACCGAGAGGTCCGATCCATCTTGATTCATGTTCGCCCCCTGGACCAGTCTAAGCTGCGAGCTTCTGGCAAGAAGGGACAAGGTTCCCCCATTTCCCTCTGGCAGGATCTCTGGCATGCGAACATGCAAAGGACCAAGGCCCTGTGGGACGAACGCAATATCCGTACCGAGCGCGCTCCACACAGCCTCCTGCAATTTGGGCAACGTTGATTGCCATTCCGAAGGAAGCACCATGTGCCCAGACCTTCCAAAATCCCTTAATTAAGGAATATACCTTAAATCATATTAGGGATCCTATTATAATTTTGGAAGGTCTGGGTGCTTGAGAGTCGGCATCCCCGATCCTCGGTCTTCGAACCGTGTGAACCGCATCCTGGCCTCTTTAATGTCAAACCACTCGGTCTGCCCATCCAGGAATAAGCTGACGTCGACAATCTCCCGGCTAGATGTTAATGAAATCGGAGGGTCCTTCTTATCCAAAAGGGTCCTATGTACTGTTATGGGGGATACTTCCCCTAAGTCATAATAGTAATTCCTAAAATAGACACCCTACATTCTGCTATAAAGGTACTTTGGATCCTTCTTATTGCTTTGTGAAGAAGAGGCTGAGGAAGAGGAAGCCAAGCGATAACGCCTCGCCGACTTTGCCACTGCTGCCCGGTCAACAGAGAGACGCGCATCGCAGGGCTGCACGTCGGAGGCTTCCTACACTGAAACCCTGTAGACCCCTTTTAGAGGGACCCTATAGTAATTATTAAGGCCCCTATAATACTATACTGAACTTAGAACCCTAGCATTGTTTTAAACTTTTAGCTGTTTCTTTGGGATTACAATAATCAAACAACCAAAAATAAAAAAGTATTTCTAAGTACCCCTAAGCTTCGGGGTCTTCGATAAAACCAAGAAGGTAGCGACTTCCCTGCCCAAACCTGTCAGGAATATGGACCATGTACATGTCTCCTCGAACCAAGCCACCAGAGGCCCGTTTCAAGCCCAAGCGAGCCACTGGGGCGACCTTCTTGCCAGAGGTGGCTTGTTCAACGCTCTTCTCCGCTAGGTTGAGGAACTCATGGGTGGCGGTGTCGTCTGGATGCAAATCCAAAAAGGACATCCCCGTCATTTCATCCTGGCGGTGAAGAAGCAACTCCAATCTCGTTGGTCGGTCTCGCATCTGAAACTGGCTGTCAAGCATTACGTCTGCATCCATAGAGCATCGAACGATGCTTCTGAAGGCCTCCAAAGCTTCCCGGGCGTCGAGTTCAGATACAACCATGGCTCGAGCTAGCTGTTCGACTAGTGCCTGACTCCCCCATCAGCCACAGAAACAAAAGGTTACACTTTCCGATTCCTACTAAACTTACTAAACTATAAGAGCCCAAAAAGTTTAAAAGGTTGGGTATTGGGGATCTAAGGTACGATGAGAGCTGTCGAACACAAGCACCGCTGACCATTGGCAACGAAGGTCTCGAACAAGCCGTAGCCATGACCCAGGCTCTTGCTCCAGGAATCGGCAAGAAATATTATCACCAATGGCACCATGGCAGTCCTGGAAGATAATGTCGGGAACTTAATGATTAGAACAGGGTTCTGGGCCCATTATACTGCAGTTTTCATGAGGAACCCCCCCAAACCATAGTATAGGTCATTATCGAGGCTCCTGCAAGATAGAGAGGCCACTCCGCAACCAATTGCAACCACCATGTCTAGCTGGTCGAAGCCACTGTGCTCATCGCTCCATGCTGGGAGCAAAGCGCGAAAAAAAAATCGCCATCACTGAAACCTGGGTTGTAGTTTTGGGGCTCTGAAAATTATTCATGAATACATACCTCTATGGGAGCCATGACGGGAAATTAAAAAGTTTCCCAATTTGCCATCGCTGAAACATACATCGTTCGTATCCTCCAGGCCGACAGACGGGAGCCCTTTAAAATCATCTCAAGGCTGTGCGCATACAGAAGGCCGAAAAGCAGAACCCGAGACAAGGAGCATAGAGTTGGAGCTATGCAAGCATAGAAAAGGAGCGTGGCCAAGATACATATCTGAGAATGAATGAATGCTCGTGCGCCCCAGAGATTGAGCGATATTGACAGGTTCTCCAATTGTTCATCCAACCTCGGATCTCGAAGCGGCATGAACAAGGCGGGAACCTTCTCCAACACGGTCGCCTGTATTTGGGCATGGCCTTTGACTTCCACTCCGACCAGGATGATGTGGCAGGAGACTAACAGAACAACGACAGCAGTTGCGAAAAGGAGTGCCATGGTTTCCGGCTGCGAAAAATCTTGCCAAAAGCTTGAAAAACACAAACGGCTGGCGGCTTGGTGAGCGAGATCCGACCCTAGACTTCGATTTAGCTTTGTGTGGTGTGCTGTGTGAGGTGTGGGGCGGGGCGGGTGGGGCGGGGGCGAGGCGCGGGAGAGCGCGACTAAGACCCTAAACTCCGCACAAACTACCTTCGTTGTGGAGCTTTGCTGCAATAGTTTCCAACTACCGGGCCTGAATGCGGATGGTGAAGATGTTGGCCTACTTTTGGAGCCTTAGCAAAAGGGTTCCTTTAAGAGTTCCTCTAAGTTCGATAAAGGTTAGCACGAGGGTGCTGCGAGAGTGAATGTGAGTGTGTCACATAGGCCTCAATACATAGAACAGGGTTTTGGGGATGTGGGTAAAAAGGAAGAATCTTTTATGAGTATTGCAATCGTTGAGATCCTATATATTTCGTCTTGAGAAGCGGAGGACTCAGGTTTGATCTAGGGGCCTCAGTATACGCTTCCCTAAGGCTTTATGTACCCATATCGTATATATTTAGGCCTTAAAGTAGCTATATAGGGACCCCCTTTAAGGCTTAAGTATCTACTATAAATGTACATGGAGCCTTTGGGCTTTGGGTTGTGGTATGCTATGACGGGACATAAGTGATCCCGCTAGCTAGTACGTCGTCATGTGCTTATTCTCAGCCTTTGAATTCTAGCCCGGCACACTTTCAATCAGTCTCAAGGATGCAGCACTCAGGGATTGGGCTTCGGGTTGATGGTTTAGGGTTTTCTAGGTTCGGACCAGCATGGTCCAGGGTTCAAGGTTGAAGCTGAGCTTGGAACACATGCCACGGCAGTTCCGGACAACAATCGAACAGATGGCAGTTGATCGACATCCGCCCCGCCAAACCCGGCGCCCTTTCGGGTTTCGGCAGGCTGCATGCCCGATCAGGTACTCCGGCAAGGACCGATCTGCAATCTTCAAACTTGCCCTCCAACATCAAGAAGCCCCTTCGACCAAAATAAACCCCGAAGCATTTGCGAAGAGCTATCCCCGTTTAGTTCCTGTAGGCTCCCAAAGGGTCCTATATGGGGAAGACTTTCCCAAACCAATTAAGAGGATTTAATAGGTATTGATTCCTACTGTCCTACCAGAAACCTTACACTATAAGTACTTAGGACCCTTCCGGGGCCGTAACTTTAAATGATCACACTAACTACAATGGCCATTGGGTAGAAGGGGAACAGAGCGGCCGACCAGTTTCAGCACACCGCCAACTTGCGATGCAGCCTTGCAGGCAAAGCAAAAGAATCAAGGTTGCTGCTTTGGGTGTAGGGTTTCCCCTGAAGCCGCATAAGCCACTACACCATATAGCTTATGGCATGACCCTGCCCAGCCCAATGTCCCACAGACTAGACCCTAAGTATAAACTCCGACAGCTGTTTCGGGCTTGTTGGGTTCGGGATTTAGCATAGCGCTCTATCCCTTAATTGATTGATTACAGCACTTTGCCCCTGCTCTCGTAAACAGGTCACACACGGTCACACTAACCAAACGTTAAATCCACCGGCCTACCGTCACTTGCACGCGCGCGCGCAGAGCAAGACTAATTAGTGACCATAGGTTGAAAGCTGTCAGGGGCAAAGCACATCCATTCACGCACACATGTTCCAATCGGTACTCTCGTGCCCGGCCAGTCTAACGAATCCCGTGTGCAGACGCACTGCGCAAAGATGGCTATCCAAGACGGTATCGGAAAACCCTAAACCCTAAACCCTAAACCCCTAAACCACCGAACCCCTAAACCCTAAACCCCTAAACCCTAAACCCTAAACCACCGAACCCCTAAAACCCTAAACCGTGCCCGGACCTCCTTGCCTCGCCTACGGGTACGGAACGGAAGCTCGACCTACGGTTGATGATATGAATCCTAAACCCTAAACCCTGGGGTTCCTTTAAAGGGATCCATAAGGGTACCCTTTAAGGGGCTATAGGGGGTTTGGGGTTTAGGGCATTACCTGGGGTTCCTTTAAAGGGCTCTATTAAGGGTACCCTTTAAGGGGTTCCTTTAAGGGATCTATATATAAATCCTGGGGTTCCTTTAAAGGGCTCTATTAAGGGTACCCTTTAAGGGGGCTCCTTTAAGGGATCTATAGAGGGTTTGGGGTTTAGGGATATAAGTCCTGCATTACCCATAATAAGGAGTATACCATAATTCTCATAGTTTAGTGTCCTTAAGGTAATGCAGGATTTATATCATCAACCGTACTAGTCCTCGAGCAGTTTGGCTTAGGGAGCTGGCTCCAAGACCAACATAGGGGCCTGAATAACTAGAATAGAGGTTTGGGGTCTATTATAGTATACTTCTAATAAGGAGCCCCCAAATAGCATCGGAAAACTTACACCCAAAACGCCCCAACTTCCCGAGCCTTAAGCGCATCGAAAGCCCAGTCGGCAACACCGTAGACGCTGCGCACGTCGTCCTTCGAGTCTCCGAAGAACCAGAGAAATTAAATGTCTGGCTGGTATGCATGTAATCGAAATCCAAGGGTAGAAGGAGGGACCCTTAATAAGGACTGCTAGGTATATACCCTTAATATAGCTATTATATACCCAATACATAGCCCAGTATAGGGTAGGGGTCCCCATTAAGGGTCCCTCCTTTTCCCCTTGGACAATGCACTGTATTCATATCTGCATGTATGCATTTGTATATATATATATATATATATACACACACTTAAAACAGTTGATGCCGACATGTACACTGTACATGCTTACACACACGCATACGTATAAATATATACATATACACATACATATATAATTACATACGTACATGCCTGCCTGCCGGCAGGCGGGCCGGGCGGGCAGGCGAGTGTTTGGCTGTGCACACACACACAAACAAACAAATACACACACACACACACAGAGTTGTTGCATGCATCCATGCATGCATGTGGAGATACATGATTAATTAGATGGGTAGACAGAAAGGTAGTTGGATCGCTCGGTCGATAGATAGATCCTAAACTGAAGGATCTAAACATCATATATATTTGTATATGTGTATATATATATATATATGTATGCTCATATATATATATATATATAGATTATATGTGTGTGTATTATGTGTATATATATATATATATATATATATACATATATATATATATATATATATATATCCAAGCCAAGGCTGCCATCACGAAGCATTGAATCCATATATATATATATATATATATATATATATATGATGCCATGGTTAGTTCAGGGTTTAAGCCTCTTTCTGACAGGGGTTCAGTTTAGGGGCTGGGATGCAAGGTTCGGCGAGATTCTGAAAATCAGTGGCTTCAAATTAGGATCCCAAGACTCAAGTCAAGTACCTATAAGATTAGTAAGTTTGCTTTCAAGCCAGCACCCGAAAGGGGCTATAGCATGGAAAACTCAGCAAGATTGTGGGAAGTCTTGCACACGCTATATGACTATATGTGCCTAAACGGGGCGCAGCCTTCCTCTGTACTTAACGCAGCTTCCTTGCTTACTGCATAAAAGAACCTGTCACCGTTCCCCAACCATGTAACACCCTATGCATGCCCATACGGTTGATGATATAAATCCAGCATTACCTTAAGGACCCTAGACTATGGGAATTATGGTATATTCCTTATTATGGGTAATGCAGGATATACATATTCAGCCGTAGAACTTTGTACACCGTGAACAACCTCTATATTACAAGATATATTGGCCACCCCCTCGCCCTTTCCCAAATTCGTAAAAAAAACCTAGACCTAAACCGTAAACCCCCAATCCCTAAACCCTAAACCCCTAAACCCTAACCTCTGAACCCCACGCTCCTAGACCCCGCAACCCCCCCCCACCCCCCCCTCCCCCCCCAAACAAAAACAAAAAAAAACCGCCAGCCTCCTGAAACCCTTGCACAAAGCCCGAAGGCTCAATGGACGTGCCGGACACGTCCTGCCGCGGTAATCCAGGGGCATTCCCTAAGGCTCTATGCACCTTTATAGTAGCTACTTAAGCCTTAACGGGATCCCTATATAGGTACTTTAAGGCCTAAGTATATACTATATGGGTACAAGCCTTAGGGCTTAATAGTTAGAACAGTGGTTCCTTTAAAAGGGTCTATAAGGGTAACTCTAAGGGAGACTAGAAGGGTGCTGTATAATGTAGAGGCCTTAATTATTGGAATCGGGTTCTTCGAAAGGGTCTATAAGGGTTACTATGAGGGTAATTACCATGATAGAAGTGCCTCAATAATTAGACTAGGGATTTTCTGAACTATATGTATAATAAGGAGCACCCAAAACCGTATAGGTAATTATTACGGCCCCTATCTTTGGGATGGTCTCCGTTTGGGGTTTAGGGTTTTGGGTGTACTGAACCAAGTAAGAGTTTACCTACAGTCTCCATTGTAGTTCCTTTTTCTGGTTAACCGGTTTTATGGTTAGGAACCTATAATAGACATTTTGGATAACCACAAAAAGGAACTACAATGGAGACTATAGGTAGGTTTTGGGTTTACGGTTCAAGCAAGGATGCAAAGCTACAGAAAGCAGCAAGCCAACGTTCACAGCACACGCTCGCATCCTGAACCCTGAGCCCTACATCCTAAACCCGATTAACCGTAGACCCCAACCCCCCGTCAGCCATGGAGCCATAAATCAATGGAGCCCTCCTCTGCACGTCCCACGGGCAGCGATAGCGGTTCACCTATCAGATAGCTGGCGGTTTCATTTACAGGATTGAGGGTGGTGTCAGCTTGTTCGCTTCGCTGAAGTGGGGGTACCTTATTACAGTGACACAGCTTGTGGACGATCGCAAACACGACCTTGCCGGGTGGTGCCTTAACTGGTGAAGTATGTCTCCCAAACTGTGGACCCTAGAACCCTACGTAGGAAACCCGACGATGGGCTAATCAAGAGCACGGCAACACCAAGCACACCGGGGAAAGGAGAAGACCCTTTGTGAACTAAGGTTTAGC